GTTGCCATGGTTTATTTATAAAAAGCTAAGCTAGAATTTGAGTACGAAGTACGACCTTTTGCCTTTGACCTTACATGCTGACAACAGCCTTTGACTGAATTAAAACCCCAGGTATTTCTGTATAAGCTTTGTGGGGGTTTGGTTTTTTGCATACTATATTGTTTGGAGCAGGAGCCTGACAGGAAGAAAATGGCTCATGTCTTTGATGTGATGTATTTTTACCTTTTTTTTTGTTTGAAGTTTCATCTGTGAAAATGAGGCTATCCCTATGCCTTCACACTGGGAGAATGTAAATACTGAGGAGCCATACCAGGTAAGAGCTGGTATGCAAGTTGGTCAAAAATATGTGATAATGAAATAATGCATCGAATTGAAATCGTGCTAACCTCTTTTTTTCCAGCTTATTCCATTGCAAAAGAAAACAAATGAATATAATGAAGTTTCTAGTCTCTTTGGAAAAACAATGGATAGCCACCGAATTAAAAGAATTAAGAGAATACAAAATCTAGACTTGTGGGAGTTTTTTTGCAGGTGAGATTATTTCTAAAACCAACAGTCTTAGGATTGTTAATGGAGCACATTTTGAAGTCATGCAGCAGAAATATGTTTAATTGTTTTATTATTAATGAAAATCTATGCCACTTTATATCTTTAAAAATGTTCTTGTTTGTTGTTTCTCTGTATTCAGAATTCCATTTTCAAGCCTGTAGCTTCTACAGGTGCAGAAATGTAATACTTGTAGAAATACATTAGGTACAGGTGTTGCAAAGATAAGACTAATGTATTAAATGCGTTCAGAATGTCCATGTGGTAGATGCCCATGATACTTACAGTGAAATAAGGAGAACAGAAATGAGCTTTTTGTAAAATAATTCCTTGAGAGGCTTGTATTACTTTAATTTTTACTGTACAAAGCAAATGAATATTTGTGTCTTGTTGAATTTCTCAACTGTATGAAACCTAGGACAGAATTAAGTGTCCAATTAATGCATATTTATGCAATTTTTTTAAACTTAATGTGATACAAAACCTTGTTCTAAGTTCTTGGCTTTTCCCCTCTAAGAAGGAGTATATATGATAATCAGTTTCAAAGGTGTATTACACTAATAAAACCAACTGAACTAAGTTAAATAGTGAGGAAATAAGCAGATGTATATTAAAATTTTGCATCAGTTACATTTTTTAAAAAAGATTTAATTTATTGTTAAAGTTATATCATTAATATGTGTATAAGGAAATTAATTTACTGCTGTAAAAGACAATAAAAATATCTTTATAAATCAGCAACAAAAGGGCTGGAAAGAGGATCCAGGGAACTACAGGCCTAGCAGCCTGACCTTGGTGCTGAGGAAGGTCATGGAACAGATCACCTTGAGTTTCCATCACATGGTGTATACAGGACAACCAGGGGATCAGGCCCAGCCATGGTGGGTTTAGTAAAGGCAGGTCCTGCTTGACCAGCCCTGTCTCCTTCTATGACAAGGTGACCTGCTTAGGGAATGAGGGAAAGGCTGCAGATATTGTTTACCTGGACTTCAGTAAAGCTTTTGGCACCATTTCCCACAGCATTCTCCTGGAGAAACTGGCTGTTCATGGCTTGGGCAGGTGCACTGTTTGCTGGGGAAAAATCTGGCCATATGGCTGGGCCCAGGCCCAGAGAGTGGTGGTGAATGGAGTTAAATTCATCTGGTGGCCGGTCATGGGTGGTGTTCCCCAGGGCTCAGTTTTGGGGTCAGTCCAGTTTAATATCTATACCAATGATCTGGATAAGGGAATTGAGCGCACCCTCAGTTAGTCTGCAGCTGACACCAAGCTGGGTGGGAGTGTTGATCTGCTGGAGGATAAGTCTCTGCAGGGGGATCTGGACAGGCTGGATCGATAAGCCAAGACTAGCTGTATAAAGTTCAACAAGACAAAGTACTGGGTCCTGGACCTGGGTCATGACAATCCCATGTAGTGTTACAGCCTTGGGGAAGAGTGTCTGGAAAATTGGCCAGTGGAATAGCTCCTGGGAGTGCTGATTGAGAAAGTCTGAACACGAACCAGCAGTGTGCCCAGGTGGCCAAAAAGGCCAATGACATCCTGGCCTATATCAGCAATAGTGTGGCCAGGAGGACCAGGGCAGTGATTTTGCCCCTGTACTCAGCGCTAGTGAGTTTGGGTTTGGGGCCCTCACTACAAGAAAGACGTTGAAGTGCTGGATCATGTCCAGAGAAGGGCAGTGAAGCTGGGGAAAGGTTTGGAGCACAACTCTGATGAGGAGTGGATGAGGTCATTTGCCCTGGAGAAAAAGAGGCTCAGAGGAGACCTTATTCAACTACCTGAAAGGAGTTTGTGGTGAGATGGGGGGTCAGTCTCTTTTTTCCCAAGTGACAGGTGACAGGGCAAGGGGAAATGGCCTCAAGTTGCAGCAGGGGAGGTTGAGATTGGATAGTAAGGAAAGTTTCTTCACAGAAAGTGTTGTCAAGCATTGGAACAGGGAAGTGGTGGAATCACCATCCCTGGAGATGTGAAAGGTACATAGATGTAGTGCTTAGGTATATGGTTTAGTGGTGGTCTTGGCAGTGTCAGGTTAATGGCTGGACTTGATCTTAAGAGTCTTTTCCAACCCAAATGATTCTATGAATCTAATTGCAAATTTATTTGACTATATTTGCCTCTTTTAAGTATTAAGGTTTATTTGCTTGACTGTGTTTCACCAGACGGTCCTTTGTACAATTAAGTTTCTGTAGAGGTGTGTTTATACATGTATCGTAATTTTTGAGAACAGGAGTAGTTAGCAATCAGGTTTCAAAGTAAATGTCCTTTGAGTCTCCAGTGTAGATGGCAGAGTGGGGCAGGGGAAGACATTTGCTTAGCTTAGGAACTGATGTCATTTGGAGAGTGTACTAATTTTCCTGACTTAAACCCATGAATAGAATTCATGGGTTTAAGAACTCTGAATCTATGAATCTGTGCTAGAATATTCTCAAGGTACAAAAATGAGATGGGGGAATTAGAATTTTGTATGTCAGGAGTATTACTGTATCACCATATAATTGTCTGCAAACCAAGGGACTTTTTATTACTTGTACAGTATAAAAGTATATGGAGAAAAGTAATTTCAGTTTTAAAATTCTTCTCCTGTACCAAAAAAAAAAAAAAAGGCAAGTAACAATGAAAATTGCTAGAATAAGTGTATGCAATTGAGGCTTAGCTGCTTTTCTGCTGAAGGTAAAATATAGTCTTGGAGTAGATAGGATTACACTGGTGAAGAAATTATTGCCTGGTAGTATATTACAAAGAAACTCCAGCACTTCAAATTCACTATAAGTTTGTTTGGTGTCCTGAGCAGGAAAGTTAAAAATAACAGAAGATGAAGCTTAGTCCAGCATATTTTTGTTCATGTCTCTCAGTCTGGAGTTGTAGAGGAGTACAGCAAGTAAAAAATGGTGTTGGTCAGTGAGATTGCTGAACTTCAGAAACAGCTGTGTGATTGCTTAAGTACAAAGAGCATGTCTCAGGATATTTAGTTCTGCTTTCGGTTTCTCCATTTATTGAGTGATCTGGCTGTTTGAGAACTTTCTGAGTGCTGGATCAACTTAAGTTTGTTGAACTGGATTGCATTGTCACTGCTGCTGGAAAGTAATAGGATGATGCTTTTTAGAATAGTTGGGCTCCAATTCTGTTCCAAATTAACAAAATGTCCTGTTGTGGCATTTCTGCATTCTGCAGAACCAACTTCCCAGTGTGCCTGCTATATTCTACTGCTTACAAGGAACTTAACTTTTGCTTAAACTTTTATGGTTTTGAAAAAGTGTTTTCTTTAATTGATAAGATCAGTAATTACATTGAGCATTGCTTGAATGATTATTTGCATCATTGTAGTGGTCAAAACACATTTGCCCCTTACTATAGTTCCCATATTAATGACAATTTTAAGGTTTTTTTAATGAAATCAACTAGTAAGAGTGAAATTACAGATTTATTTTTTTTTTTTGACAATTGATTATTCATTTTTTCTGTAAATTCATTCCTTTCTTCTGTTTCAAGAGAAATTACTCTGGGCTATATTTATGTACTGCCAGTGATCATCAGCCAACAGTAGAACATTGGCAATTGAAAAATTTCAAATGTTCAGCATTACTAACCCTTAGCTCAGAGCTGTTTCCTCACACAGGTAGTTTTCTCAAGATGATGAGAATCTTGGCTTCTGGGTTTTGTCGAACTGCTAATGGAGTGGAACTTGAGTGCCTGGAACCTGACTGCCTCTGAGTAAAAAGTCTTACAAATGAGATTATTAGTGAAACCTCCCACATGCCATTGAGATTTTACTGACATTCTCCTGATTTGGAAAGCAGTTGTAGAGAAGAAGAGATGTATGCACAAAAAACTTGAGTTGCAGAGACATAGGTATTTTAGTTTGCACTAAGTGGAGCAGAAATAAAAAATAAGCTGAACACTAAAACAGAATAAACATATCTTTCAAGCTAAATACTGTAAGTTTCACTTTTGTGAAATATACTTATTTATAAATAATGCGCAGTTGCAATATAATGCCATTACTATGATATGGATTTGTCTTTGCTGCTTGTCTTTTTTCCTTTCCCTGGACTTGGTTGATAGAACTTCCCCAGACTCCATCTAAATTGTAGGCCCTGGGAATGCTTCTCCAATTCAAGTGTGAACTCCAGTTTCAAGCAGATTGCTTGATTTGTAAACCCAAGTGTGCAGCACAGTGCCCCATGCACTGTGGCTTTTATAGGAAGAAAATTCAGGAACAAGCTATAATATGGTCTGACTTGATTTTGTCTGGACAGTCAACACATCATAACTACAAACAGCTTAGTGATTTAGACACATCTTCAGAGTCAACTTCTTCGTGGATCTTAGGAAAACCCTACTGACAGAAAGTTGCTTAAAGATTGATGGGAGGTATGTCTGTTCTTTAACTGAAGGTGTGCTATGGCCTTCTGCCGATGAGACTGTAATATAGGTTCATCTGTAGGGTAAGGTGTGGTTTTTTTTTCAAGATTCCAGACTGATGTAACCCTGCCAATGCACAACTTACCTCTTTTAGAATGTATGTGAACCATAAATTCAGGTAAGCATTATGACATGATCATGATATTCTGTTCTCTGTAGGAAAAAAGCTCAACTGAAGAAGAAAAGAGGTGTCCCGACGATTAATGAGCAGATGCTATTTCATGGCACCAGTAATGAATTTGTAGAAGCAATATGTATTCATAACTTCGACTGGAGGATAAATGGGATGCATGCTGCCGTGTATGGAAAAGGTGAGAATTGTCACATAAACCAGCTTGGTCCTACTGGGTGGTCAGACCAGGGAGCATGGGAAAGGGATGCCCAGCAAAGCAGTGTTGATCACAAGACAATCTGCGTACTGAACTGTCCACATGAAGAGTATTTGGTCATGTTGCTATAATCTAACAAAAAAAAAAACAAAAAAGAGATTGCTAATGAACATAAATAAAAAACCAGACATTTGTCATCATCCTGAGACCTGTATCCATGCTCTCATAGTTAAGCTGTCATGGTAAGAATGTCATCAGATTTTTTTTTATTTATTTGAAAGGGACCTATTTCGCAAGAGATGCATCATATTCCAGCCACTTCTGCAAAGAGAGCATGAAGCATGGAGATACTTTTCAGATTCATGGCGTGAACCTGCAGCCCCATCTGCATAGACCAGATAAAGTCATGTTTCTTGCTCGCGTATTAACTGGTGACTATATTGGCGGTGACTCAAAGTACATGAGGCCTCCTTCAAAAGATGGAAGTTTTGTGAACCTGTATGACAGCTGTGTGGATAATACCTGGAACCCAAAGATTTTTGTCATCTTTGATGCCAACCAAATCTACCCTGAGTACTTAATAGAATTTTGTTAAGCTTGAACTGAGTATTGTGTCTTTTTGATACTTTTGTTCCTTTTGTAAAGACAACAACAACATAAAAACATGAGTGAAAGGAAAGAGGTGAGAGAAGAACTGGCATGTTCATGGAGGAGGGAAGCTATCAAATGTTTAAGGGAGATTGGTGAACTGTTTTCAAAAATCTGTAAATTTTACTAATGCATTTTTCAAATGTAGAGGCTATTACAAATTTGAAGTTGCTTAGTGAGCCTTAAATACATTGGGCATTGGTAAGTTTTCAAAGGCAAGACTGATGTTCTGATTTTTTAAAATATATTGAAAGTATTTATTAATGTGGTAGAAATATGCCTCTAATATAGTATGCATATGATGAACCTAATCTTTTATAAAGATTGTCTATAAAACATGAAGTGACAACAGCAGCAAAACCCCGGGGGACTTGGCTATATATGTGTGTATGTCTGTGTTCTGTAGTACGTGATGCTTTGTGTTTGGAGGTCTCCTAGTTTGGATTCTAAATCTATTAAAAAAAATTTGATGTCTCCTCCATCAGTTTTCTCCAGATAAAGTTCAACAAAGCTGTTAGGTTTAACTTAGGCACCTTTTACTGTAATCTTCAGTTATATACTTGCGAAGTTACAAAACCCTTGCACTAGGATTTGAACTTTGGTTTTGATGGAAGAGATGCCTATGAACTCCTGTGGTTGTTAATTGTTTGGTATGTAACTGTTCAGCTCATGGCTGGGATACCAGCAGTGCTGTGCACCTTTCTGAGTTCTTATTCTGTCAATTTTTTTGCCATCTTGTTACAGTCTGCATGTGCATGCACTTACATTCATGCTGCTGTGCTGCTGTGATTCCTGTCTGGTCAGAGTTTAAGAACCACTCAGGGCTCACGTTTTTACTGTTACTGAAGAAAATGTTTAGATTAACTTTAGTGGAAAAGTTAAACTAACAATGAAAATTTCAGAAGATGCCAGCCGTTGGTTTTTAAATACTTCAATAGAAAGCTTTCAATAACACTTGTGTAGTTCAGGTTTTCATAACTGGTATAGTTGTAATATGAAAGAGTATTTTTCACATGTAGAAAGAGCAAAAAAGACAGTATTTGGTTAAAGAACAAACTTCAGTACCTAAACACGTGAAGAGCCTCAAGAGGGGCTGTTATGGTGAAATGCACTGACATGTTAAACAATCTGCTATGAAATGGTGTCCCTAGTGTTCTTTTTTAAAGGACCTAAGTAGCACTAACAGACAAAGTTGAAGCCTTTCCAGGCTTTTTCTTTGGCTATTACCAGTGACAAGTCCCTGTAGAAATAGTACGTAACTGTGGCAGATAGAGAATGATCTGTATTGTCTGTCATGAACTTTTTAGGTCACAGACTGTGTTTAAAATCTATTGTATTTGAAAGGCACTGCAGGTGGCATGACCAGGTCTGCTCATAGCCATATTAAACTGGTAGAACTGAAAGCAGAATATGACTACATATCTGGCACCATAACTGAGGACACAAACATCTCTTTCTTCTCCTTAGTGCTGTCATCTTTGCCTGTCAGTAGATCTTGCACAAATTGTTTGTTTGTTTGTATTTGTAATTTCATGGCAACTTTTCATTTTGTTTCTGTTCCTAAACTGTTTAGGGCTAAAATGCATTTTCCTTTATTTTAGGAGGTATGATCTCTGATTCCCAGTTTGGAGCTCTAGGTTCTACTCTTGTAGGTATAATTTGTGTTTGATTCACTACTATGCTAACTGTGCAAAAGGCACTTTGTTCCCCACATTGTATAAAATAATAGCAAGTCATGCAGGGAATTTGTGTATGACAGACTCCTTTTAATCCTTATACAGTATTTTGCAGAGCATACATTTTGTGAAACTAACACATACATGTGCTGCTGTTACTTTGATTTAGTATTTTATTTCTTCTGAGCTCTGAACTGACCTTTTTAGTTAAGAAAACTGAAGATTTAGCATCTCATAGGCACAGAAGTCCATAAACCATACTGATCTTAGAGACTTTTCCTATTGTTTGTGTGGTGATGTCTTGTTTGCTACTTAAATTGAATGCAGAATCTTTATCTTATCACTGCTTAATTGAAGTTCTACCTCTTCTTTCAATGTACTGTTTTACTTTTTGATACCTGTTTTTGTGCTGATGAATCTTGATAGTGAAGTTATCTGTAAAGTAACCTTTTTCTGGCAAGGGGAGAGAGATTGTTATTGCAGGCAAAGTCCAGAACTGTACAAGTAGCTAATGCAGGAAATAGTTGCATGTAATAAAAGGAACAGGGAGAGAGGAAGGGAGGAAAATAATTTCTTGGTCTATTGAGTGTTAAAAAAAAGGGATTTAATCTGATTCTGGGGAAGGAAACCTGCTATTTTCTGTTACTATTTCATGTCGTGACTCTTTATGCTCCATTTTCTTTTTACACCTGTGCAAGAGAGCATGTCATTCTGTTACATGCCTTGATCTGAGGTACAGGTTTTTTACTATATTATTCTTGTGGCTGAATGTTTTCACATGAGCACAACAGTTCATGACATAGAAGTAAGATCAACTTATCAGCTCAAAGCTGGCATCCTGTGCCAGCTTTGATTTTTAGAATGGGTGTGTAACAGTTATTGCTCAACAGATCTCATTTCATGCAGAGCAGTTTGGGAGAGTGTCTGTCTGCATTCCAGTTCATTTACAGGGCCATTTTTTTCAAACTTTTGTTTTTAAGGTAGAATCTGAAGAAACAAAAGGACACACCTGTATTTTTAATAGATGTCCCAGTACACACCCATCCGAGCTAGACGTGAGATACTTACTGTACCAGCTGGAGTTAGTGACTTAAATTCCAGGAGTATATTGAATGCCAGTTCAGCTGGTGGTTTCAGGACAACTCTGATCCTTTCTAAACCATTACCAGCACACAAGACCATAGCAGGAAGGCTCAAGTGAGGTTATGCAGTCTGCATAGGTGGAGATTACTTTCAGGAAGATGAGCACTTGTCAGTCCTAAAATTCCTTTGACCTAAATGTCTGTCAAGTGTTGTATATTATTATTTTTATGCACTGTCCAAAACAACAGACTTCCAGAACAGCGTAAGTCTGCTCCAGTATAGCCATCTACTCTTCACAAGTCACCAAAAAATTGTGGGGACTGACAGATGGAATACTTTGTAATATATTTGCTTCTGGCATGTTTCTCTTGCTTTTCTCTGCTGCTGCAACCCTGCAGAGTTAGTGAGGGAGTTTAGAGGAATAATCTTTGAGCAAGCAAAATAAGAAGGTGGTTGTGTGGCTGCATTTTCTTTTTTGTTTGCTTTTGTTTAACTGACACAGATGCTTTCACTGACATGATTTTCTGACCTGATTTTTCCATAGAAAAGCCTATGTCAGCAAGCCATGCTAAAAGTCAGATGTAGGGTTTTCTTGCAAAATACATGTATTTCATAGCAAATGGACTGGGAGACCTTGGCCCAGACCCTAGGCCTCCCAAGTTGCTGACTAGTCCAGCTTAAAGTTTGCTGCTGATGTGGAGACCCCACTCACTCCAACTGCTGACATCACAGGCCAGGGGCACTCACCTCCACTTTCTTGTCAGATGCCAGGAGTTGGCACTAAACTCCCCACACCCACACAGAGGCTCAAAAGTAGCTGGCACTGAGTTGTTGCAGCATGTTCACGGTGGTCAGAGACTGAGCATAGACAGAGATGCTTAAGGAAAGATAGAAGCAGCGAGACCAGACTGCATTGGGCAGGCACAGGGCTTGGCCAGACAAATGGACTGGCCAACCCACTGGCCCCTCTTATACCCCTCTCTGTCTACCTGCATTGTACCCCTCAGCATCTCCTTCCCCTGTGCATCCCCCACCCCATGAGTGTGTACAGCTGCATCGAGTCCTGCACCCCTTGCAGTCCTGTCCAAAGTCCAGGCCCATCTTCCTGGAAGTGGCACCTGTGGTTTCTTGATAACCCATCAATGACTGTGAGTAGTGAGGTTTGATTTTTTCACTGTTTCTGTGTTTGTCTTGTCAGTTTTATGTCTCAGGGTATTTTGTTTCTCCTTTGTCCCTTAGTTTTCTCACTGCCAGGTCCCCAGTCAGGTAACCCCATTGGAATAAATTTTTTTACACTCTCATGTGCCCTTATCAATTGATGTGACTGACCAGGTTTGCTTCTCATCACTGTCTCCCTTATCATGTTAGTCAGGTTCATATGCCCTTATGCTTTTTTTCATGGCTTCCTCCTTTTCTTACTGTCCTTGTTGCATTGGAAAAGGTCCTTGACTCTTAAAGGAGTAGACACTCTCCTTCCACGTACTTGTATATTTAATGGTGCCACATAAGGTGTCCTGCAATTCTGGTCCCACATTTGTCCTAACTTGGAGATTCAGTTGGAAAGGTCACATTTCATTCCTATGGTAACAAATGCACTTAGCAGGATTGTTTGCTACGCAAGGTGAACAGGAAGATTGGAAACATGCAAGTTCTTTTGAGTGGATTTTTTTTCATTTTAAAGAGCCCACTTGACTGTACAGAAGTAGGAGAGTATTTGGTGTATATTCAAATAAGCAAGAAAAAATTTGCAGTGTCATGAAGAGTGTAAGTATGGGAAAAGGATAAAGAAAATGCTCTCTATCCATTCAGACAGTAATCAGTTCCATGGAATACCATAAAATGAGTTTCTCTTCTTTGGGTGCTTTGAGCTGTTATGAGTTTGATACTTCTGTCATGCTAAGGATGGCAAACCAGCTGGTCCTGGCTGTTTGCATGCTTATTTGCAGACATTTGAAGATTAATTTACTGTTACTACTTTTAGAGTCTTTTGCAAAGGAGATTGTGACTCCACTGATAGAAACATGTCTGAAGCTATGCTCTTCTCAGCTATTGACTTTGTTAATGAGAAATGCCATTAATTTCTGTATTTATATTTTGTCTGCCTATTGCCTTAGAATGTCTTTGAGGTTTTTTGGGTTTTTTTTCAGTACTTTCCTTTCTAGAAAAATGGGATGTTTTTGCAATTAGA